CTTTACGTTCCCTCGGACATGATAAAAATGCAAATGCAAAATGAAGTTGCAAAGAAACGATGCTTGATGTAGTTGCACATGTTGGAGGCGACTAACTATCATTTACTTCCACTCGAAATTGATGAATTTAAAATGGGAGATGTTTCATTGTTCAAAATTAGAGTTTATTTGAACATTTAAGGATCCAGCTTTCCGCTCTTATTCACAAATTTTCACTAGAAATGAAAGTGACCTCTAAAATGTTAAATAAAAAATTCATCGATTCGCACATTTTCTTCACATCTACAGTGCCGAGCAAACTTTCAATCTTGAATTACTGATCTAGTCACTCAAGGTCGCATAATGGTTGCATTTTCACAAAATCATATCAAGCTTTCATCACCAAATGCAATTTTGGATGGCTAGATCGCTCGATCATAGATGTGAAGAAAAGTTGAGAATTGAGGTATTTCTTGATTTATCATATTTGAATTTTATTTCCTTTCGAATGAAATTTTGTGCAAATGTTCACAGAGGTGAATCCCTAAATTTTCACATAAACATAAAGTTGGAACAATGAAAGATGTCCCTTTTAAACTTGTCTATTTCGAGTGAAATTCTGTGACGAATAGATTCCAAGTTTAATCTCATCAGAATACAATGGAGGATTTCTCTATGCCAACTTTTAGATTTCGGTGAAACCGATTCTTGAATTTCTTTCAACCAACTGTTTCTAAGAGATTCATTAGAACTCAGTTTTAATTTGCAAAGCTTCCTGTTAAGCCATTACCGGCGACGGCCAAGAAGAATCGGCCGCCGTCTTCTGGTGGGATCAACCCTCATATTTCATCAGCTAACCTACTTTCATTTGAGCATACAAACTAAGCTTCGATGAGATACCATTGTTGGGCAGGCTTCCAATTGCATAAAGAAGTGTTTCGAAGGTCAATCTCACCAGAAGATGACGGCTGATTCGAGTTGTACCGCAGCTATTTTGCTTTAATATGACATTCAGGTTAACGCAGTCCACAACACACTTTCCTTATTTTCGGTTAAAATGACCTAAGCTTTCGTGCATCATATGATGAAAACTTATTTTTGTAAAAGTATCAAGTCTTCTGGAAATAGTGTTAACTTGAAACTGGTGATGTCCATCATGTGATGGGCGAAAGCTGAGGCCATTCTCATCGGAAACGAGGAAAGATGCGTCGTGAACTGGGTCAACCTGAACGTCGTATTAAGCACAAACGGCTGCAGTACAGGCGAATCAGCCGTCGTCTCCTGGTGAGATCAACTTTCGAATTTAGTAAAGTGGGTTGAACTCGCTGTTGCAACTTGGTCTTGTTGTCATGGCGACTATGTAGAAGGCACCTAGTCCGAAGTCGTCTGCCATAGT